GAAGCGCTGATGCGGTGAATCTCTGGTGCCCAAAAGTCACTGACGGCCCACGTGGGCCTGCCAGCGGCGTTTGCAGGAAACACGTGTCCAGACAACTTCCAGTTGACCATGTCGGTGGATGTCTGCAGCAGCAGCAGCAACAGCACGTGCGTGTGTGTGTGTGTGTGTGCGTATGTCACGTGCATCATGAGGTATGTGCAGAGAGCAAGCACACACAAGCAAGCAATGGCAGTGAGCGGGTACGCATGCTCAAGGCGGAACCAGTCCCAATCAAAACACAGCATCCACATGTGCACATATACAAACACGCACACACGCACGCACACACACACACACACACACACACACACACACACACACACACACACACACACACACACACACACACACGCACACACACACACACACACACACACACACACACACGAACCATGATGGGAAAGGCGTCTGGTGCGTCGCCGCTGGTGGTGACGGCGTACACGACGCCATCTTGGATCAACACCCCCGGACCAGGGTGGTTGCTGTCGATGACCGGGTTTGTGTACGTCCCCTGCACATTCACATTGTGTTGCCCTCTTCTTTGCACTCCGACCATCTGTGGCCCTCCTCCATTCACACCAACACCAACACCACCAACACCACCACCACTCAGCAGCAGCAGCGCTGCAAACACAAACGAACCACCACCACTGCGCATCATCTTGCTTCTTGCTTCTTGCTTGCTCGTTCAGCAGCTTCCACAACCTGCCGAAAATTATGTGAAATCTTCTTGCATTGTTCCGTAACCGCTGCCAGCGAAACGAAAAGTACAACAACAAGCAAACAGCTCCTCGCTTGTCTCCTTCATCATCGAGTGGTCTGCCATCCGCTCCGACACACGCCCGAGGATGAGGACTTCGACCACGGGGCTTGATGCTGTGCGACGGTGGCGCCGATATGTGGTGATGCGGCGAACACGGAGGCAGTTTGAGGACCTGGTGCTGGCAATTGAGGGCAGCGCGGCACAGGTGCAATGGCCACCAAACTCGCTCCACCCCGTGGTCTCGTCGCCGCACGCCCCATGGTTGTGCACGCCACAACAACAACAACGACAACAACAACAGCAACGACAACAACGAGGACAATCGAAGGAAAGCGAGGAGGAACACCGGGAGGAGTGTGGGAAGGGGCAGAAGGATCAAGAGGATCAGGAGGATCAAGAACGTAGAAGGAGTGATAGCGCACTGCAGGTTGGACGCACCCATGAGCAGGAGCATACAAGGGAGCAAAGGGAAGACACGCACGTTGCACAACAACAACAACAACAACAGCAACAGCAACACGTGGCGCGGGGCACATGTACATCCCCGACTCTGTGGCTGTTTCCAGATGTGCATCCACGCCACGATGATGAGGTGCAGAGCGAGGTGCGGGTTTCCGTTGGTGCTGGCGGTGGTGATGAGGAAGAAGCTGGCCACATTTGTGACCACCCCCAGCTTCCACTGCTGCAACAACGACGACAACAACAACACCAACAAAGGCGACAGCATCGCCTGCGTGAAGAGGTCGTGCCCGAAATTGCGACCGTTGGTGCCAGGCGAGACACGGGCCGTGACATGGCACCAAAGACAGCCTCCACGCACACAACAGTCCCTGGGTTGCACGATCACCACCACCACCAGCAGCACCACCAGCAGCACCAGCAGCACCACCAGCAGCAGAAGTGGGTTGATGATGACGATGACGTGGATGATCCTGATTTGTCGATGGCACTGTCTGATTTGTCGCTGCTGTCTGTATCGACCATTTCGACGCCCGACCCTTCGGAGGAGGTACACAGCTCGCCTGCCCACACGGATTCCACGCGAGACACGCTGCACACGCCATCACCGCCGGCCTCATCGCTGCACTCACCAGCGCACGTGCTCGGCCACAGTCGAGAGCACGAAGCAAAGCATACTGTGCACCCTGCTGCTGTTGCATTCGGCAGTGGTGGCGGCGGCGGTGCAACAGCTGGCATTGATCGCCACCCGCATGCACCCACGCACAGCAGCCATACTCATCATGTGCGCGGTGTGCGAGATGCTGGCGCCAAGGCACGTGGCCCAAATCACCAAGATGATGAAGAAGATGATGATGATGTTGATGATCACAACAAACGCGCGCAGCACCAGCACAATACGCGCACGCAGCTTCAGCACAGTACTCACACGCAGCATGAGCACAATACACGCACGCAGCACCAGCACAATACGCGCACGCAGCACCAACCACACCAGCACTGCGAGTCAAGCAGAACACGCGAGCAGTGGGTGCCCGTGCCCTCAGCAAACGCCAATGCCACCACCGCCACCACCACAACAACGACGACAACGTTCTCTGTGTCGCGGCTGCTCAAGCTGCGGCAGCACATCATGATGGAGCTGGACTGGACGCGCCAGTGCCTCGCCTCACGACTGCAGATGCAGCGGCTGCTGCCGTGACAGTCGTTGCTTGTTCGCCCACTCCTCTTCGCTTGCTGCCACTGATGAGTCTGGAGATTTATCATAGAAGATATAAACGGAAACCGTCCACAATTTCATTGACATTAAATTTTTTGCCTTGCTGGTCCTTACGCACAAGCAAACGGTAGGCCCGCACACACACCTTCCCTCACACCAACGATCAGCTCTACAGGCGGGCATTGTATTTTCGAGACAGTGGTCAACTGCGGGCAACCAAGCTGGTGGGCGTTGGCAAAGAAAGTGCACCAAGCAAGTGAGCGAGCAAACAAGCAAGCAGGTAATGCTGTGTTGTGAGCACGCTTGAACCTGTGTGGCTTGCTGTCCTTTTTGATCCACGTTTTGGTGTTGGTGGCAGCCTGTCCTGGCTGGCTGGAAAGGGAGCACGGGTGGCATCCAAGTGGCATCCAAGTCAAAGTCAAGCAGCATCCAGCTCACACACACACACACACACACACACACACACACACATCCCCTTCTCGATCCTTGATCACGTCCGTTGTGGTTTGTCAGCAACTATCAAGTTGGAGCGATGTCGGGACGCACATCCTCCTCCATTGCCCGCATCGGCATTGGCCGGGCCGGTGCAACCGCAGACGACGACGAGGACGAGTCCCTGGCCCCAATCATCCACTATGGCGACCAGATTGTCCTGTTTGACAACCAGCGCGTTGGCTTTGTCACCTCATCCATTTCAAGGTGCGGCACAATGCAGCGCTCATCTTGCGTGCGTCGCCTGTGGCACGCCACTCATCCACATCAATGTGCTCACCCACTGTGCTTTTTCGCTTGTTCGCTTGCTCGCTCGGTCGCTTGCTCGCTCGCTCTGTTGTGTGGTGTGATGTGACGATGGCAGTGCGAAGCATGCGGCGGTGGATGTGATGCGTGTGCCCAGCCGCAAGAAACCCAAAATCGGCAACATCTCCACAGCCGTGTTTGAGATCCTGCCACAGTTCAAGTTCAAGGCCCGCAAGGACCTGCAGCGCAAAATCAACGCATTGCGCCAAGCAAACGTACGTCGCGCGCGCGTGTGTGTGTGTGTGTGTGTGTGTGTGTGTGTGTGTGTGTGTGTGTGTGTGTGTGTGTGTGTGTGTGTGTGTGTGTGTGTGTGTGTGGCACAGGGGATCGATCGCGCGCAGCAAGTGCCATGACCCCGCTGGGTTGCGACATGAATCAAAACTCGTTGATGCATATCCTACCTTTCACCATGCGACGCCACCTCAACCAACGCGTCTCCTGCAGGAGGGAAGCATCTCCTTCGACGTGGCCATTGGACGAGCAGACGACCCAGAAGAGCTGCAGAACCTCAAACTCGTGCGTTTTCTTCATGGACACGCAGATGTATTTGCATGTGTGCCTGTGTTCTGGCGTTGCTGTTGCTTGGCTGCATTCATGCCACCCTCACACTCGTCGTCTCTACCATCGTTCACGCACACAAAACACACACACACACACAAAACACACACACACACACACACACACACAAAACACACACGCACACACAACACGTGCTCCACCCTGCAGCTCGCTGACGCCGAGGATGAGGACAATCGCAACGAGATGAAGCGCCGCCACGGCGATCAAGTCCTCTACGGACAAGTGGTGCGCGTGCTTTGTTGTGCTGTTGCGTGTATTTGTGGTTGTGCGCGTGTGCACGTGTTTGCATGTGCTGCTGTTGTTGCACGCCTGCACTCTGTGTTCTTTGATACCGTGGCATGGCGACGTGCAGCCAGAGCTGACGGTGCTGTTGTTTCGCATCTGTGCGCACGCGTGGTTGTCACCTGCTTTGCTTTGTTCCACCTCCAGGTGCTGCTGTACCATCCACACTCTCGTCGCTTTGTACGTGTGCAATCAAACGTCACGTCTCGTCGGGAGGCAAGGTGAGGCCGTGTGTGTGTGTGTGTGTGTGTGTGTGTGTGTGTGTGTGTGTGTGTGTGTGTTCTTTTGTGTATGTGTGTGTGTGCGTATGTGTGTTCTTTTGTGTATGTGTGTGTGTGTGTCTGCATTTTCTGTTATTGCTGTGGTGCAACGCAGTCCCTCTTCCATACACTCACCACGTCACCTCGTCACCACGTCGCCACAGCAACCTGCGCGTGGACATGGACGACTTTGCGACGCGCAACTCGTGGTTCCGCATCATGCCGCGCTACAAAGTCCGCGCCGAGGGCGACCCCATCCGCGTCACAGACCAGGTGGGTGGTGGTCAGTCATAGTCGCGTAGTGGTGGTCAGTCGTAGTCGCGTAGTGGTGGTTGTGCTGTGGGAAATGCAAAGGCCTTTGTGAGCGCTGTTGTAGCGACGGTGAGTTGTGCCTTGACCTTTAGAATGGGAGCATTGCGCGCTCACCCAGGATGGCATCCTCTTCATTGCTCAGATTGTGCTTGAGAGTCTCAAGACGGCGGGCCAGTTTCTGCACACGAGCTTCCAGCAGCACCCAGAGGACACGTGCGTTGGCGTGTGCTTCTGTTGTGGTGGTGGTGGCTAGAGGTGGTGGTGGTGGTGGTTGTTGCTGCGTTGGCGTGTGCATTCCGTGTTCGGGTTGCAAAGCTGGGTGGTTTGTTGTTGCAGTGAAGTCTTGGCAACCCCTTCTAGCCATGCCTCATTCTTGGAACACACGCGCACACACACACACACACACACACACACACACACACACACACACACACACACACACACACACACACACACACACGTGTACACAACTCAGGCCGGACCACGGGCTGTACGAGGTGAACTGCTCGGTGCAGCCGACAGCATACTCCATCTACGAGTTTGTGGACCACACGCGACGCGACGACGAGGAGGGCGCTGCTCAGCTGTACGTCACACGCAGCACCTACCCTCTGTTTGCACACACATTCACACACGACGCCTCGCATGGTTTTGGGTTTCCCTTCACTTCACACGCCCCCTTTCTGTTGGCCTTCCATCCATTTCTCTCCTCTCATCCCCACCCCTTTCATCGCCATCATCATCGCTGTTGCAGGCTGCGTGGTGGCGACACGATCCAGCTCTTCCACAAGGAGATCAGCGCCTACATCGCCGCAGAAGGCGTCTTCTCGTACCAAAAGGTGCAAGAACAATGCATACTCTCGTATTCGTATTCGTGTGTGTGTGTGTGTGTGTATTTGTTTGCGTGTGTATTTGTTTGCGTGCGTGTGTGTGTTTGTGCGTGTTTTCGCGCTTGTGCTTTTTTTTCCGTACATCATACTTTCTTTCACCCTTGACTCGTCATCTGCTCTTTCTCACCCCATGTACAATACACATGTGCACTATTTGTCTTGCTCGTGCACGGCAGCCCGTTGAGGACGTGCACATGCGTATCCGCCCCGCTGATCAGACGAAACCGCACGGCATGCTCCCGCCCACCAGCGCCGTCACCGTACGTATTCGCTCGTGGATACATGGACCCTGAACACACACACACATCACACATCACACATCACGCCCTACCGTGCGTGCTTGACCGCGCACTCCATCCTATCCGCTCACACACACACACACACACACACACACACACACACACACACACACACACACACACACACACACACACACACCACGTGTCTCGCTTTCTCTCTTTTGTTTTCGGTAGTTTTGGCAAGTTGAGTTTGTGGCCAAGACCATGTCTGGTGGTCCCGTTGGATGGGAACAAGACATTCGCCTCAAGCACCTCCCAACACAGGTTTGTTGCGCTGCCACTGTTTTCTGGTGTGGCCTTCCATGTTTGTGCAGCGTTTGCAGTGGTGTTCTCGAACACTCTGCTACAACACTCGCACACACACACAACACACGCACGCACACAACACACAGACCCACCCACACAGACCCACCCACACGCACACACACGCACACACACACTCACGTCCCCCTCTTGATTTGCTGGGCAGATGTATCTGTCGTTCCAGATTGAGAGCGCTTCCAACCCCGTGCACGTGCCGTGCCTCACCTCGGATCCAAACGACCCCAGCTGCGTGTTCAAGTTCTTTGCCGTCATTCGCGAGCGCGATGACATCGCCATGGACTCGTACTGCCGCATTGCGCACAAGCAGACCGGTTCGTCGCTCGTTTGTGACTGCTGCTGCTGCTGTTTTTGCCTTGGGTTGCAGCTGTGCTTTGTTCCGCTGTTGCTGTACTGGGCTGTTGCTGCTGTTTACGCTGTGTTGGCGGTTTTGTGTTTGTGTGATGCCTCTGTCTGTGGTGTGTGTGTGTGTGTGACGTGACGACTGTGTGGCAATGACATGACCACACTGCGTCTGTGCTCACAAACCATCTCTGACACCCCTCCTCCATGTTTCACCGACCACCCTGCCACCATTGACGTGGTGGTGCATCAGGGTACTGGCTGCACGCCGAACCCGACCGCAAGTACACGCGTCGCGGTCGGAACCTCTCCATGCCGCCCACAGCAAACCCAGAGCTCATCGCAAACACCAGGGTACGATGCACAGCTGCGCAGCTGCATGTGCAATTTGTGCTCGCATCTTGTGCGCGTGCGTTTGCGTTGGCTGGTTCGCTGCTGCCGTCTGTGTGCGCTCGCACCACTTGCTCAACCTCTCTCCTTCTCTCCTTCTCTCCTTCTCTCCTTCTCTCCCTTCTCTCCTTCCCTCCTGTCCCTCTCACCCCTCTCCCTTCTGGCCTCGCTACTCTATCCCAACACACACGCCCTTGACACAACTGCGCGCAGAAAATCCGGTGGGATGGTGCTGAGCTGTGCCAGCTCGGGCTGTCTGAGACGCGAATGTTTGACGACGCCTTCATCATCCAGCCCGTCGACAAGGAATACGTCTACAACGTCGGGTCAGTCCACACCTGCTCGTGTGTCGTTTGTGTCGTGTGTGTGTGTGTGTGTACATGTGCATTCGTGAAGGCACTTTTGTAGGCATGTTTGTGAGCACCTTCGTGTGCGCTTGTTTGTGCAGTGTGTGGTGCAATTCTCACGTGCATGCGCAACACACACACACACACACCATGTCGTCGCCACCACTACGACCCCACCCCCTTTGCAGCTACGTTGCCGGCATGATTCCCGTCATCCGCATGTACACGCGTCTTCGCCTTCAGGGCGAGCCGCCAGTCGCCGTCTCAAACGCCGTCGTCTCAGGTGCACAGCGCATGCTGCTTTGATGTGTGTCTTTTGCTTTGCTTTGCGTGTTTTGCGCTGTATCTGGCGTGTTTTCCTCTGTGCGCACGTATGCCTGCTTGTTTCGCCCTCCGCCCACAAGTTGCACTTCTTCGCACACATACGCACACACGCACACACACGCACAGCCCTGAAGGAGCTTAGCGCGTTTATGTTTGTGAAGGGCAACCGCGTACGTGAGCGGCAGAAGCTGATCCGAAACCTCTACGTCGTCGAGATGCTCGTGGAGCTCCTCAAGTCCCCATTCGCCCCTTTCAACACAAGTGAGGCCGTGTGCTGTGTGTGTGTGTGTGCGTGCGTGTGTGTGTGTGTGTGCGCGCGTGTGTTGTGTGTTTCTTGTGTGTGTGTGTGCGCGTGTGTTGTGTGTGCGTGTGTTATGCTCGAGCTGCGATGCTTGGCGTGTGTTTCTATTCCGGCGCTGCTGACCCCAACATGTTCTGCATCACTTGATCGTTCATGCCATCCCTTTCAAAGGCCCATCTGCCATTGGGCTCCAGGACTTGGCAGACCCGCGCAACCGCGAGACGCTGGTGCGCACCGAACTGGCATTTTGTTTGTATGTTTGTTTGCGTTGAGTTGAATCGCGCTTCTGTTGAGGGTTCATTCTGTATGTGTGTGTGTGTGTGTGTGTTTGCGCTGTTGCCATCCTTCACCTCTACATTTTGCCACACACACGCACACACACCTCCCAAAACACACGCACACACCCTCTCTTCCTGCCGCAGGCTGTTGTTGACGCGGCGTACAAGGTGCTGGAGACGTATCTTCGCGGCAATTCGCGCAAGAACGAACTCTACATTGCCGCCCACATCCCATTCTTCCAATCGCAGGTGCGCTGCGCTCGCCTGATGTGTCGCCCATCAACTCTGCTCTTGCTGCCACGTGCACACGCACGCACACACAAGCACAACATCAATCTCAATCTCTCTCTCTCTCTCTCTCTCTCTCTCTCTCGCATTCCCGCATTCCGACGCCGTCACACAACCCAACGCGCACACACACGCACACACTCACGCACATTCACGCATGCACTTTCCGTGCACAGGTTGGCGCGGCGCTGGAAGTGGAGAAGATGTACACGGAGCTGGTGCGCGACAACAACCAGATTGTGCACGCCATCACAGACAAGGAGATTATGATGTTTGTGAACCTGCTCAAGACAGACAAGCAGCCGCAGTACCTGGAGTTTCTCAGCGTGCTCTGCGAGTGCATTGGCGCACCTCTTCCCCACAACCAGGACAAAATTGCAAAGGCCCTCCTCATCGACAGCAACGGTGTGTTTATTGTGTGTGTGTGTGTGTATGCTTGTGTGTGTGTGTGTGTGCGCGTTTGCAGTGCATCTGGTTTGGTGTGTGTATGCTTGTGTGCGTGTGTGCATTTGGTTGTCATGCACGGCCCACACGCAGCACACATCTTCTGTTCTCACTCTGAACCTCGCGGTAATGCCCACACAACAACAACAACAACAACAACAACAACAACAACAACAACAACAACAACAACAACAACAACAACAACAACAACAACAACAACAGACTCTGTGTACCTGACGGAGGTGAACGGGCAGGGCGATGGCGTGGTGGTCAGCATCGACAACGGCAAGACGTGGGGGTCGCTGTACGACTTTGTCAAGTCCGCCATGGACGAAAAAGATGACACGAGCACACCAGAGTACCTCTTCCTCGACGTACGGTGGCGCGCATGTGTGTGTGTGTGTGTGCGTGTTGAGGAGTGTGTGTGTGTGTGTGCGTGTTGAGGAGTGTGTGTGTGTGTGTGTGCGTGCGATGAATCCTTGCTTGCGCCTGGATGCCTCGCCCATGTGTTCGTGCGAATGCTGCATATCTGCGCTCACACCATGTTGATTTGCTCCTTCGCGTGCGTGTGTGTGCGTGCGTGCGCGCGCAGCGTCAGCTTGAGCTCTTTGGAAAACTTTGCCTCGGCCGCAACGACAGCTCCATCGACGTGAGTTATCGCATTCACGCAACACCAACGGCAACCATGCACAGAAGCAAACACAAGCCCATGCACGCGCACAACCACATGCATGCATACGCTTGGCTCATTGCATCGCGTGTGCATGTGCACTTGTGCAGATCATTGCGAACCAGAAGAAGTACCTGACGTGGCGCGAGTGCTACCTGTGTGTCACCTCCGACCGTCTGCCAAAGAGC